AATTTGTAACAAACGATAAGATATCGTCACTCGAAAACTATGTTATATCGTAGCCCCGTAACGGCGTATATATGATGGATTCATAATATACATTTATAATTATTATTATTATTATTATTATTGTATGCAACGGGTGCGAGAGTGAAAGGAAAACGGCATTATATCGATATACCATTAGATACCGGTTAGACGTCATACAGTGTAATGACTTGTTGGTACTATATTATATTATTATTTTAATATTTATCACTTGAAATTAGATAATATACACTTTTGAAAACCTCATTTGAAGTGAACGACGATACCCGCGGTCGATTTTCTGTGTTCAATGTGTAAATGCCAAACAACCTTGATGCGATCGCCATAATCGAATTCTTGTCTGTCTACCTTCGTGTCGCATAATATAATATAATGTTTTAATAAACGTATTATAATTATCATTATCGTCGTATAAAATATGATAGTCAAACGGCGGGCGTTTCCGTCTCACGATGATGTTTAACAGCGAATCGATTATTGAAAAATACTTTAACCGAAAACGGCGGGGTCACAGTAAACATAATATTTCCTTTCCAAATCGATGGTTTTCTTGTCACGGTTCCACTAAAGAGGCACATATACAGTGTCATTCGAGTTTATTTGTATATTATATACATGCAAACATGTCATGACTAATATTTGAAATTTGTGAAATAAAGAAAACAACATTCAGTTTACCTATCTATACCTGTCGGCTGTCTTACCTATTTAATACATATTATGTATTCTAACTATATTATAATAATATACAGATGACAACATGAGTGTAGTATATATTATTATTATTACTATTATCATAATAATAGTTGTCCAGTCACAAGAGCGACGGTCATTGCTAACTATCGATTTTCTAAAAAATTAAACGATTTTCAAACCAGAACTCGAAAAATGGTCACACACTGCAATCTATACTATATCGTGAACGGTCAATCGAATTCCGATCACTCGGGATCTCGGAGCAAAGAAGCTTCGGAAAATCGTATATTGTGCGTATTAGAGACCTAGTATACAGTACTGCACGTTGCAGTGTGCATACAGTGCTGTGTTTACTCGGTTTTTCTAGAACGATATGTCATTATTATGCCTACGTAAATAGGTTATAATATACATCACAGCTGCCCACATATACTGGAAGTGACAACACGATGAAATAATATTTACACGTTGACATCGAGTTGAAAAAAAAATGATCGATTTTCTCGCATACATAATTATTTGTTGTATAGCCGTATAGGTAATTGAATATAACTGATTTCAGTAATTGAGCGAGATGAAAATAATATATACCGTACAGTTTATAAGGTACCTACACAATGTAATATAATATTGTAATAATGACGTGTATATACGACATTACATATTTTTCGGCGTGGTTAATCGATGCGCTGTAAGAGGAGACTAGCGGAAACAATTTACACACTACGTTTAAACGACGTGTTTTATATATTATATTTTATTATTATTATTATTATTATGCGTGTCAATTATGCTGTTCGTGTCAGATAGAGATCCGCGGGGGACATAATATTATTGTCCGGACCGAGACGAAAGCGTATACCTACACGGCGGCGTCGTTGAACGATAGGTATGTTATTATTATCGTTGCAACAGTTTAATAATAATAATATATTTTAACATAAAAGTCGACGAAATTTCAATAGTTTTCCGGAAAAACGGTGGCGCTGCAAAATCGTGTGAACAAATTCGGTTTTCACATGTCCATAACACGATGATGCGCGTGTTTATTACAGATCACTTTTCATTTCACTTTCGGACTGCGCGAAAAAAATAAGAAGAAAAAAGAAATTATATGTACCTACTACAACTATTTAATAACAATATGACACACACAATATTATAATATACCAGCTGCTAGTTGCTACAAACTTCAAATGTATCGTGGACATTGGACAAGTCGTCAGTGACTGTACTGACTAGTAAGGAAACAACCATGTAGGAGATGCGTAAATATATACGTACTATACTTATTGAATATTATTATAATATCGTCGAGAAACCAAAGCCCCCGCGATCGATGAAAAACAAGTGACAGCGTGGGAGGTGGCACACGAAAAACTCGAATCAAAAGCACATAATATTATAGAAACCGCGGACGACCGATTTGCATAAATTTATACTCATATGTACGAGTACTATTATAACGCAGAAACGCGCGTGTGGCCGTCGTCCGAACTGGTTCACACGCTTCGAGCGGTATAAAGCCTGCTCGCGGCTGCCTCTACATTTTCGTCGCAAAACTTACGAGTTGTTACAGTCGATGTTGTGGGCGAAAATCGTGGTCGTGACAGTCGCGGATGGTAAACAGTATAATCACCCCACCGTGTTGACGGTTTTTCAAATCTCGCCCATTGAAGATATCCATCAGCCGGGCACCGCGATGTCTCATCTTAATAATATAAGTCATAATATAATATGATAATATTATGCATACCATAATATAAATATAATACTCTTGACGCTACTTGTCGTCATGTTTTATGTTGCTAGCTGTTTTATTTCTGCAACTCTATAATATAATTATTTTACAAGACTGTTACGATATTAAATGTTGTTTTGGAAAACTCAGTAGGCGCATACTCATACACCGCAAACTTAATATTCAACACTCGCGCCTATAAATTAAATACATTTTTTATGTTGTGTATCAACGCCTACGATAGACGCCTCAAACGTCGCAGTCGTCTTCGTCGGCAAGAAAAGGAAAAAATATAAAACATTATAGCAGCAGTGTTATGTTATTACGTAATATTATCATCTTTCCCGGAGTGTTATTATATTCATATGAATACAATATTTGTGAGGTTGGTTTCGAAAACAGATTTGAACATCGCTTCAATATTTAACATAATTATATTAAAAATATAAGTACCGAAGAACTCGGGCGACCTCGTCGGTAATGGTTAAGCGCGTTCGGAGCTAGCCGACCTGTACCATACGTATATCTATACTTGCGCATGGCTGAACCGATAAGCCATTGCGCAACACGCATCGTATTTTAATAAATATTATATTATTATTATACCTACATCATACCGGGGTCCGGGTGTTTCAAGGTTTGTCGAGTGTGTTAACAACAAACTGGATTGTCCTATTTTAATGACTATTATGCATATAGGTATGTACTAGACTGCAGCATTATAGGTACGTTTGGCGGCTGGCGCGCATACGACAAACTTTGAAAGTGATTACATAAAAATCGTTAAACGCAAGCTAATAATATCTCCGACACTCGAGCAGAGTATATAGTATAATATATTATGTTCGTATAATATTATTATGACGTTATGCATATGATAATATTATTATAATATTTACATCGGTATAGTAGCCGGTTGGTACCACATTTTCAGTAGGTACGGCGTTCAATCGTTCAACCGTTTATTTATTCATTTAATCGTTTCGTATAAATGCATCCTGAAATTGACAGCCAGGTAATCGTGATTTCACATAACGCGAGTTAATTATTCGGGCGTCGGCGACCCGACCACGACATCGAATGCAACCCGTTTTCAAGACATGTCGATAGTTTCGCGCTGCGAAGAAAGTGTGGGCTGCAGCCGGTATCTATCTGACTTCTCGCGTACACTGATATCATTCGTAAGTGAGCGAAAGACGTGCGATTTCTTCACTGCAGTGTCAACGATGCGTTGACTTGCTGACCATACCAAATACAATTGTGTTAGACGTAACATACCTATAGTAAAATATGTACTATATACAATAATAATTATACATACGTCAAATACGAATACGGGTATAGTTTGGGTATACCTGTACGGCGTGCGACGTTCTCGGGGTATATTATTATTATTAATGAAGTTCTGTCGATAGATGGTCAGCAGGCTCGATTGACAGTGGAAAGTTTAGCTCGGTGGCTAACCCGCAAAACGACAACGCGTATACCCGCTTATGGGCAGTTGCCTTTTTGTTTCCGCACGAACGTCTAAAATACAATCACACACAGTAGTACAGTGCACATAATACAAAATTATATCGCCGTATTAAGAACCGGCAAATTCGTTCGTAAGAAGTTTAACAAGATCGACCGGCCCCGCCCTTTTATATAACGACACAACCCCGGCCAGACCGCACCTGTAAATGGGTTTTCGTACATAACATATTATTATAAATATATAACGCACACTAATAGCTATACCTGCAACCTCCTAATAATAGTAATAATTATTGCGACCTGTGCAAATAATATTGTCGAGTGGACAAGACATGTCCTATTCCTTTACACACACCTGTTGTCGGATAAGCTGTTATATATTATATTACCATACCATACGAAAGATTTTTTTCAAAACAGAAAAAAAATTGACGTAACTATAACACGTTAACGAGGTATTTCTATAGGTACGCTGTCGTTGCTCGTAAGCTGCACACAGAAGATGTTTGGTCACAGACGAAACAAAAAATTTCCGCCCACGACTTCTATATTTTTTTTTACAACGATTCCATACGTGGCTATTTAAATTTTACCGACATAGCCATGTATATATATTATACATACCTATATAATATGATATTATTATATTTTCAAACAATACATTCTTCTTTTAATTACACTTAGCTGTTTTTACAACATAGTTTTTGAACAATATTATATAAAATGCCTTTTTACAGAAATTTTTATTTAAAAATTATTATTCATCAGACATTTAGATGAGCATTCCGTTTTGAAAATAATTTTTAGTTGCTTTTATAATATTTTTAGAGAAATATTAATTTATTTAAATTATAAAGGTATCATGAACATGAGTTAACTTTCTATAAGGTCGTTAAAATGAGACATGAGCATATTATTCAATTTATTAGAATGTCTAATGTCTATAAAATACAGACAGTAATATAAGCAGTCATCAATAAACATAATATTAATTGTTTATTTTACATTGTACATTGTTACATTATTTATTTTATTTTGTTTCTTTTCTTTTATTTCACACAAATATCACATTTAAAACACTATGTAATGAATTAGTTTTAAAATAATTTATGATAAGTATATTTTATCAACTGACTAAATTTTTTATATCGCAGTAACTAATTTAGAGATAACTATAGATGATAAGTGTTTAAAAATGTGTGCAAAATATATACATTAACAATAATTATTGTATGTTATAAAATGTTGGTAGTTACTTGGCACCTCAACTTTTTTAAGTAGGTTCACTTCATGGCATTATCAACCGTTTATTATTATTGGATAAAATATAGTGGTTGTTTTCACCTTGAACACAGTATTATAAATAAAATTGTACTTATAACAAAATAAATAAACAATAATTATTGGTCAATGATTCAAAACCAAGAGATCCGTTAAAGAAGGTCAAAGCATAAAATGTTGTCTAACTTTCGTCGAATTCCATGTGTGGTTAGTTATACGTGGGTGTGTGTAGTAAAATATAATGAATATCGGTCTCCTCTTGATCGTTCCGAGTGACCATTAACAATTTTTTTCTCAACATACCTACCTATTACGGGCTTGGTACATCACCCGAACAAGCGTTGATCGGAGAAATCTCCACGTTTGTCCGTATGCTTACACGCCGTGAAACACAATCCTACTAATAATAATAACAAGAAAACGAAATCAACATAATATATAATGACGATCAAATTCCATTTGTTACTTTCATCGTGTATTCTTGGCCGTCATCATTGTCAGCGTCCTTTCCCTCGAACATATATTGTAATTACATCATCCATCATCGTAATTTACTGATACCCGGTTACCTATAAACATATACCTGTATATTGTATCGTATATTTTATAAAAGCATCCACCAATCGTGTGTATATTAGTATATTATCCGTATCGGGTTTTTTGTTTTTTTTCTCATCCCAGATAGAGCAGTTTAGAACGTTGGATGGATTTACATCTTGATTATTGTCGGCCTGCCTGTACACACTATAAGAAAAACATATGATATCATAATACTTTAAGAAAAAAAAAAAACATTCACGAATATATTATACAACAATAATAATGATACAAACCACATGAAACGTATTATATGATATCATCATCAAATAAAATATAACATGCTTAACACTCACAATTACCTTTATAGCTGCGGGTTATAATATATGAATTGATGAAGACATCGATTTGAAAACGACACCGAGTGACAAAATATCGACAATTATTATATATTTTGTACCTACATAAACCACATAATATTTTGCATATTGTATTACACTCACCGCGGCGCGTTTTTCACGCAAACTCAATCGGACTACGGTTCGTCGACTACGGGCTGTGGAATATTTATTATTTTATTTGCTTTTGGAGCTATTCTATAATCTTATCCTATAAACACCACCGCCGTAGAACAAACCGCAGCGGAAACAATAGCGTAGCGACACAATATAATCCACACACACAAACACACTTATTATATTATTATGTGTATTTTTCGACGTCGATTTATTGGCTATCGTGCGAACAATACAACATAGGTTATGCTATATATATATGTAACGCATTATTACGAGCCAAGCGCCTCTGCGGTCGTAAGGTCAAGTTCGAAACGTGTGATGAAACGTCCGGCTGCTTATATTGCTATACATTACAATATATATATATATTATATATTATTATATACAATCTACGCGCGTGTGTGTGTGTGTCGGGGTCGGGTCGGGTCGGTAGCGCATTTAGAACTTTCTATCGTGATCGCGACGAAAGCAAGAGTGACTGCAGAGAAAGTCCCACCCGTGATAATGTTTCGTGTTGATGCTGCGCGTATATTATACTATGAATGTTTATAATACACAAGACGTGTATAATGTGTATATTATAAGGGCTGCAGGCCACAACTGGTTATTATTTTCATTCCGGACGAAATGATTTCTAATCTGGTCTCGAACACGTTTGCGCACAAAATAAGGGATGCAGCTTGCGCGTACACTGCAATGTGAAATATACCATTATAAAACTATTATTGTGTACGTATAATTTGTTGTGGTGGGTAGAGTTGCCATAAACCTAATAAACACAGTGATTATTGCGCCGTATCTCAGATTGTTATTAAAAAAAAAAAAAAATGGTTTACACTGAATAATATAGGTCCAACGAATTATCCAGTAAGAAAGTATAATAATTATATGGTATACTGCAAAAACATCAGAGGAATAAACGATTTGAAGAAATTCTTGGCGAAATATTATACTAATATCTTAATGACTAATCTTGGGTGAAATTGCAGCCAAACATAAAATATTTAAATTAAATCTATTATTATCACTGAAGTCAATAATAATCAACAGATCACATACATATATTATGCGGACCATATTCTGTTCAATTTTTTTTTTAAATGTCCAACTCGCAAAAAAAGTTTATCTTGTTTGTTGTTTGCATTAGAGTATAAAATATTTATGTTTTAATTGCCTGTTTAAATGACTTATTGATTACCTATTATTTTTATTTGAATTTCTGAAAAATTATTATTCTCATAAGCAAGTGGGTGCACAGAATAGCCTGCAGTGCACTTTACACAACTTAACAGTTTACCTACCTGTAATTTAGATATTTCTGTACTTAAATTATTCATTATTATAGCTCACAATAATTAAAAACAGTGCCGATCGATCGCTTATTTTATGCATAATTTTGAATCAAATAATACAACATGGTGTACGATAATCATAATACACGTGATATCGTATAGGCCACTACAGACGACTTGTTTGAAACGAAATACTCGTGTCACGCACTCGACGAAATAGTATAAAATATGTTTCTATTGTGTACAACGCAATATTATGTCATATTATAACCTCGTCGGTCATTACTGGGTTCAGCGGACCGCTGGAAATTGATTCGTCGTATATAAATATACGTATATCATGGTACTCGACCGCGGGGACACTTATATATATATATGTGTACTGAAATATATAATAATAGTATATATGCGAACTGCCATCGTATAAAATAGAATTAGTATATTCGTTAAAATATTGTAATGACAATAACTGTACCTAAATATTACATTATAGTATTTTTGTACACGGTGTCGGACCGAATTCGCCGACTCGTCTGGTTGTGGTTGGGAAAAGCGTCAGAATCGATTTCGAAAATAAAAGTCATCGCGTAAGTTTTCCACAACATATAGTTGTACGACCAAATTAAATAGACGTAATAAGCCTCTCGGACGACTGGTAGTTTCTATAGCGGGACCCTGTCAGTGACGTTTTGGCGTCTTGCCGACCGTAAGGATTAATAATGTACTATGGCACGACCGGATGGATTTAGCAATTATATAGATATGATTTAATGATGGAAAAAATATTATCGGAAAATCGTCGGGACCGAAAACGGAGTTCGTGTCTCTCGAATCGTATATCCGCGTATACGCTAACCACGGTGCGCCGTGTTCTTAAAATTATAGGTATTAATAATAACTTATCGTTCGTGTGTGTCTGCAACGAAACGAGTCGATCGACCTCGCACTGTATAATATTTTATTGATGTGCCGAGATTATGACGAGATTCGTCAACCCCGGTTCGTGAGGCAATCGATACAAACCACAGCGAGCAGCGGAAAACGTTCGTCTCCGACACGACGATGATCCCTCTCGCGCCCTAACCTTTACCTATACAACACAACTACCTACCCACTTTATCCTAATGATATTATTATTATACGCAGCTGACAGCCTCGAATCTTATAATAATAATAATAATAATAATAATAATAATGGTGATGATGTTCTCCCTTCTGCACCCGCGGCGTGAGCGATGTCGTTTCGAAAAGCGCACTTGCGCCCACGATGTCTTGAAGAGACCACCCCTGCCCACGATGCAATCCGCGAACGGAATAAAATATTAACCACTAAAGTATTATAGCGCTTGCTTGTGTTTCGAGCTCGGTGCGTTATGATCGAAACGTACATACATTATAATATTATAAATTTTAATAGGGCCGTCTTTATACCATAGCGCATACGCCTTATGATATGATAATAATATATTCCCACACATGTATTATTATACGTTCATACCACACGTACATTACCATAGCGCCGCGTCTCGTTTGTTTCTCCGCTGTCAGAGTGTCCAGTTGTGTTATATACTCGCACGGGCGAATTTCAAACCGGTATCGGCGGTATCACGTGTATTATCGTATTATGTATATATATACACCAATATATGACTATTATTGTATGCCGATAAGAAAGTGAAACCTGCTCCGCCGTCACCGATCACCCAAAGGGTTAATAAAAAAAAAAGCTGTCAGCTAGATCCGGGTACGCGATATCATTGCTGCGCAGCTCCGTACGACCGTACCTATGATAATAATATTATGCGTGATACGCGTCGGCGACCAATATTACAATAATAATCGTTAACACGGCGAGGCGCAGAGATATCGAAAAGTGAAATTTTTAATATAACACAGTAAATAATAAATTCATCATCAATGCAAAAATTTGAGTTCGCATGCTCGATGAACCATCCTATATATTATGCATTATAATAATATATTATATACTATAATAATCAGGCCAGAGCCAGAGAGTCCCATTTTTGTGTGATGCATGACATTCTTTTTCGCTAATGTAATTTATAGATACAATGGTATATCATGTAGTTCAACAAACGCCTATAATTATTGATCTTTATTTGCGATCTACACGCTTTAGTTAAAAACAAAATAATTATCTTTTATCGTTTTATACTTTTTAATTCGTCGTACTTAATTTATCTTTATATCTGGATAACCGTCTATATGTTATTAATTTATTATATTAATGATTGTTTACCTATCCTTATCCCGATAAAGATTTAGATATAATTTCTTCCCACAACAATGGCCGTAATACACTGTGCCGATGATATTATGTCCCACTGTCGTGTACAACATTTAGTCGGGCGTGCAACGTGTAGGAGTGGGCGCGGGGGTTAGTTGCACTTGAATCAGTCCGCGCGCGAAAAGTCACAAAATTTAAATTGTTTTTTTCGTTTCCGTTGCCCGTGCGAACAGAAACCAATCCCATCATAACACCGTATGTGTGTGTGCTTGTGTGCGTGACTATATTTGTGTGTGTTTTTACGTCAATTAAGCACGTCGTACGAAGTACAGAGGAAACGTTTTACATTTTATTCTTGTGGGTCAAGGTGTTGCCGGTAACGGTTGTTTCGTCCGTCGGTTTGTCTGTCTGTTTGTTTGTTTGTTTGTTTATTCACCATTTTGCCATTCGGCGAGCAACGCGCACACGTCGTCGTCCATATTATACCTATATAATATACGCACAGTCGTACTCGCATTAATATTGTTGCGGCAGGCAGAATATAATTAGGCGAATGAAACCAGTTTTATAGTGTACGTCGTCCGTTGTGGTAGTATTATACGCGTAGTCGACATAAAATTTTTTTTATTCCATTTTATTATTATACTAGTGCCCATCGTAATAGTAACGATGGTAGTGTATTAGAACCCCCGGCCCCAGTATGACGACTGTGTTTACGTCACATATAATAGGTGTATGATAATAATACGCTGATGCGACGTCGCGGTTTTTTGGACGCCATCCGGGAAACGACTTGAAGAGCGTTTAGACTAGAGACAGTAGCACGATTGCACAGAATAATGACCAGCAACGACCATAATTTTTTTTTTATTTGTTTTTTTTTTTTGTTCCCGTGGTGTGTGCATGCAATGCAGTAAAAACATAGCTGGTCGCGTGTTAATACGAAGTGATTATCTGAACAATTATTATTATTGTTTGCGTTACAGTCACACTGAAAATACACCTATAGCCTAGTGTAATATATTTGTCTTGGCTTGTGACGATAAAACAAAAAAATAAAATAAAACAGTTAAAAAGGTAACTGAAAAAGTGATACCTGTGAGATTTAAAAATTAGCATTGAATTATTTCGAATTTCGCTTCTTAACAACGCAAAACAAAATTTGAGATTAATCATATGTTTTATACCTGGCTTGACGTTTTATCAAAATAATTATATGAAAAATATGCTAAAATTATTCAGCCATTACCCGGTCTTATCTCTGAAAATGTAAATGTCTCAACAAATCCTTTCGAGGATTCATGTATAATGTAACTCTCCATAAATTAGTATCCATATTATAATAAGTATAGTAACATAACGCCATCAGGCAAATGTATTTATAGTGACCACTATACGTGTTTCACTGAAAAAGTTATGACTTATGACGATCTTTTAATTTTTTTTTATAATATTGTATAATAAACAATAGTTATTTGCAAAAACTAAATTAAATTGAAAAAATGAAAAAATATACCTAGGTGAATAATATGATTCTATTGTTACCCATATTATTTTAACTTCTTAGAAGTGATTACAATTTTGGATAAAAACTTTCGTCAGTAAGCATAAATCTAGATTTTTTTTTTAAATCGGCAATATACAATAAAATGTTTATAGTTCATCGAATAGCGTAAGTGGCGCAATTAATAATAATAGTTCCGTTCCGTTATTACCACAAGACCTGTTCAGAATAGTTATATTAAACAGTATCTGGACTGTAATTTAAAATAAAAAAAAATATAATTTTTAAACAAATATATACTTATAATGTATATATAATATATATTATTCTATACACTTTTGACCCGACACCGCGTTGTGATTTTTTCCCTCGTTTTCTTTTTCACTAAAAACTGTTAGTTTCGAGTACTCGTTTATGTATAGTTTTAGTAGTTTTACCTATAACGAATTGATAGCAAAAAAAAAAAAAATAAAAAAATAAAAAAAATATGCTTAATATACATAAATAATACTTATACTCTATTATATAACATTATTATAATGTATAAAAACAGAGTTCAGTCGAACCGCGAACCTCGCTTGAATTCGGCGGGACGCGAGCGGGGAAAAAAAAGTTCCGAGCGGGCCAACAATATTGTATTATTATAATAAATTCGACAGTAAAAATAATAATATAGTTCATTGTAAAGACGTTGTGGAGTGGAGGGCTATTGGGGAAACCGAATGAGCCGGCCCGGAGATTATCAAATCATTATAATAAATATTCACCCAATATATTCGCGCGAGTGCGTGCACATAACATACTATAACCACGACCGAACAGGACACGATGAAAACGCACCGCTTTCGCGAATTATAGTAATATCAGGTAGATTGGTTAGAGGTGAACGAAAACGGGTTAGTAATTATAATATTGTATACTGAATTTTGCGACGATGACTTTTACGCGAGTCTTAAACACCCGAAGACTCGAAGACGGGTACAGTGTATTGTCACGCACTCACTCACGCCAGTACACGTATCGCTTTCACCGCTGTATCTACGGGCTACGATATAATTTTAATGTAATTTATATAAAATATGTATTATTATAGTATCTAAAAGACCTCTGCTTCAGGACACGTCTATCCTATACCGAAGGGTGCAGGAGGTAAAAACGGTTTTAATTTCTTGTTTTTGAGTCCACACGTATATAGACACTTATGAAAAAAACAAAATATACAGCTAAATCTATAAATTATAATAGTACTTCACGATACTATAAGTTCAAACAGAATGAAAAAAATTTTATTTCATGTAGGAATATTCCAACTAGGTTACCAAAAACACAAGTGTCCGTATTATAACTATTATGAATGTATTTAAAAGCGATCTTTTTTATTTCGTTATAATATTGATCCGCTGCAGTAATAGTTTGATTTATCGAAAGTTGACAGCTGTTGCGTGTACCTATACAACATAATATGTATAAAATAGTCCAGTAAGTACACGCCGGAAACGTTTCCGAAATCGTACAGCGTCAGCAATTATATTGTTATTATTCAACCCAAGCAGATGCTCAAAACGATGCAGGTGCTCAAAACGATGCGTGTTCGACCAAAAATTCGATGTTAGCATAAATCAAACGGATTTATTAGGTGGGCTGAGTGGCGAAGTCAGCAGGGCTCGTGAATCATATTTTCGACCAGTTTCCTCGGAATGAGTCGTTCGTAAAATGACATTTGTTTGAAAATCACTACTCCCCCCATCTCATGATATACGAGCTCGCATGGAATTAATTCAATACATTTTAATCTACTTTATATAATATTATCTCCTAGTGATTTACCCAACTGCTAAAATATATTTTAAAAACATATAATTATAAAAATTGGCTCTCTAAAATCGTCCAGTTGCAGTAATTCTTGGTATAATTATATTCGTGGTACCTATGCGTCATTAGCATATAATACCGTTATCGAAATGACGCGAAAATCGTAAGGACAACGGTGAGTTCTTTATTTTATTTTTGTGCATTTTGTTCAATCCGACGATAATGTAGGACTGTTTTTAACTACCGGACCGGTTTGTCGGTACACTACGGCGCCGTGTTTCCCCCGTACATAATATTATTATAATAATAATATAATGAGACGCATCGGTGGTGGCGACGATGAAGATATAGGTACTTGGCACAACGGTGCTGCGGTCAGAACCGTGTGGTTCTCGGGGGTCATAAATTTCGGCTTCGTATGCCTATACCTATTCATATTAAACGGCTGCGGATAATTTAATATTTATAATGTTTCTATCTGTTAGTAGGTATATTAATATAGTATTTTATATATACACCGTAATATGTTTCCCCTAATATACGCTGCGGATGCTGCCATGTACCATCGATGACATGGTTTTCCTGGATAAGGTGGTTTTTTTTCGATAAACAGTGTTTTATGAACTGTTGTCAGTGTAAATACCCAGAGCGGACGCTATTTCATAATGTATAGATATAATGGATGTATAATAATTACCTGCAGACTGCAGTATACAACTTTATTATAATATGAAATAATTATCTCTAAACTATCCAAGAGATATTTTTTACCATTAATAATTTTAATAACGGTAATTAACTCTTTTTTGAATAAACTTTCATATTTTTCGTTTGTGTTGTGCCCGCCGCGAAAACAAACGACGAGATTTAAAATTAACACGTTTTCATAACCACGGAATCGATCTGATTAGTTTTTAACGACAAAAAAATATATACATAAATAAGGATAATAAATTAAACAGCGAAGATAGTCATGGATGCAGTTTAACGAAACGTTGAGTTTTTTTTCTGATCGTATACACGAGATACACAGCATGTCCACAATTAATGTACCGACTATTTTACATAGTTCCCACGAGTCATGTATGTATATTTAGATGGTCGTGAAGAATTACCATTAACCATAAATATTTCCAAAAATCTGTTACGAAGTACTAACGAGTAACTATGTTTATTTAATCTAAATTAAAGAAAGTTGGTCTATTTTGGTACACTGTAATAGTATGGCTAGATAACAGAACTATTTGTATATTTTATTATACTGAATGTATTGATAGGTACTGCTTATTTATGTGAGATGAATAATTCGAAAGGTACACGAAAAAAATTGGAAAAGATGTGTAAATCATAAGTCATAGCCAATATAAATTTAAAATGTTTTTTTAAACAATTTTGAGGAGGGGGATCTAAACCTCAAACCACTCGTATACAGCAAGTCTGGCGCCTGTGCATTAAAAAATATTCTAAATTAAGCACGAATAGCCTTAGGAAGATATTGAAGTCTCCACGGATTTGGACTATAGATCAATATAATATACCATATAACGGGAGATATGGTATTTAATGGGATAGGATAATTTCGGGCGGCACTTAAAGGATTTGGGAAACCAAGTTGATTTTAATTTTTACAATCCTTAACCGTCTGAAGCACCGTTAGTGAAGGTTAATTGGTTATGTACCTATACTCATAAATTGTATGTTATATTACAATATTACATTTACTATCTAGGTATGCGTTGACTATTGTGTTATTTGTCACACGTTATAATTATTTTACCCACAAAACCATTGTGTGTGTTTTAATACTGTGAAATATATAATATATTTTATATTTATACTAATATTATTGTCCGAAAGCAATAATACAATATATATAATATTATATATTATAATAAAGATCATAAAACCGTTATACGTTTGAGTCGGGTGAAATTCGTCGGCGATACGTATACGAAAAGAGAACACGCCTGCACACCGTATGCCTGCAATTAATCGTGAGTATGACTGCTCAATGCTCATAAGTCATATGGAATCATAGGGTGTGCCCCGAGGCTTTTCTATATGATAGCAAATTAATTTATATTATAATATTATAAATAGGCAAGATCGACGACCAACTGACCAAGTTTACCCATGGTAACATTGTTAAGATCGTTATCGGCAACAGTACGAGGTTCCTATATATAATAATATCATAGTATACAAGTACCTCAGCTACAATATGCGTATGCGATATTCAAATGTGCAGCCGATTGAATGGAAAGCGCGTTTTAATTTTGCGTCGATTAATTATAATCATTATAATTTGATTGAAAAACAATAATTCGTGATACCGATCCACACAATTATTATTCGAGCATATAGTAATAATATACGAGTGTGTATGGCCCCACGCCCATCCAAACCTGCTGTTGTAGAGCCAATAACAATAATGCATGTATAAAAAAGTGCTTATTTCGCATCATGTGTATATACATGTATGGCCATAGCGCACAATCTCTTTGATAGCTCTGTTGCTGGCCCAGCTTAATGAAATACCTACGACCGACCCTCTCGCGGTTCGTGTGCGGCAAAAACCCGCCAACGCAAATGCGACTTTGCACAATATCCAACAATCGGACGATGAAAACATATATTATTTTACCTTCCAGTACTATTATAATAATATTTTGGTCGACAAAAACAAATGACCAATTTTCCATGCGACTTTCCACGAGATTTTTTTCATTTTCGGCCAAACGGTTTCTGTTTTTATTTTTCAAGTGTTTTCGTACCGTACCGTGTATTTCTGCGCAATGCTCGACGACGATACCTATATAGGTACCAACAACACACTGTCCACAATATATTATCATTATAACGGTCGACGTGCGCTGCAGTATATCGTATCAGCTGGTACACATACAATATCGCAGAGTGGGCAATATATGTATTGGGATAGGTCTCATCGGCGCATGTTTTGACGAACTGCTAACACCGACCCGTTGCGAAGACGAGTCGGCGGTAAAAGGATTTTTTTGTTTCGTTTTTCGTCGGGCTGCCGCTCAGACGAGCAGGCGATACGCGTAGATAGCCCTTTTTGCGGACATCGATCAACGTCCACC